TTTGGGGCTGAAATTTACGCGCAAAACGCGATTTCCTCGCAACGAAGAGAGCGACTAATATATATAGATAGGGGGGTAGTTCGGACCATTTAATTTTTGGGGCCGATTTCGGGTGAAAAATCACCGAAAAAACGGACTTCGGCGTCTCCGGTTGTTTTAGCGTGGTTTCGGGTCCGAGGCGAGATTTGGGAGTTTTTCTCGAGGTCTCGACGTCTTCGGGATCTCGCCTCGATTCCTTGCCTCGATTCCTGGCCTCGATTCCTGGCCTCGATTCCTGGCCTCGATTCCAAGATGAATCCATGATGACTCCATGATGAATCCATGATGAATCCATGATGAATCCATGATGAATCCATGATGAATCCAAGATGAATCCAGGATGAATCCATGATGACTCCATGATGAATCCATGATGAATCCATGATGAATCCATGATGACTCCAAGATGAATCCAGGATGACTCCATGATGAAACCATTATGATTCCATGATGACTCCAAGATGAATCCATGATGACACCAAGATGAAGCCATGATGACTCCAAGATGACACGAAGATGACTCAGAGTTTTCAGCTTTATTCGCCTCGGTTTCGTTGATTCGGCTTGGTCAACCCCTTAGGCCTCATCCGAATTTAAAGTCCAAACTACCCCCCTACCTATATATACTAGTTGCTCTCTTCGTTGCGAGGAGATCGCGTTTTGCGTGAATTTCAGCCCTAAAGATCGTCGAGCTACAAAGCTCAAGATCCCATTCTAGTTTAACCCAAAATTTCGGAATTCTCAGAGGGTTGGATAACAAGGTCCAGAGACTGCTTATGATTGGGTTTGGGATATCCCTCCATAGAGAGAGTGAAGACCTGCTTGAAGATGACGTCGTTAGAGGGCACTTGCCGCACTCTGTTCGACTTCCTCCCTCGCAGATTTTGATGCCAAGAACTCGCCTGGAGCTGCTCCTGCGAGGGTCGAAACTGCATTGCATTTCTGAGCCGATGAGGCCTCGAGAGTCCTTCTTGAATTTTTAGATCTGCGATCCTCTCAGCTGTGTTCTGGCGTGGCGTGGGGACTCTACTTGAGAGAGAGAGCATGCTTTCCGCCCAAATGCACCGTCGCGCCGCGTCGCGAAAAATCAGTGCACCTCTTGTCGCTACCCTACTTCTACCCTAGTGGGCACGCTGAGCCGGGGCTCAGGGCCGCGGAACCTCGCTTGCAGGGGGAGGCTCTGCGTTCTGGTGCGGCGGTCCAGCGGAGAGGGGGTCGCCCCGACTGTTCGCCGGGACCCCTGACAACTCTCCGCGCCGGTTCGCTATGTGCCAGGGCGGGATACCCCTCAGTCTGCCAGGGAACGGAATGCTGCCCTTTTTGGGGCAGCTCCGGTTCCATTTCGGGGTATTTGGGATGCTTTCAAAGCGTCGAAAGCGCTCAAAATACCAAGGTCGGAATTCCGACCTTGCTCCGAAACCTCGCAGGACACTCCAGCAGGAAGCGCTCGCCGATCTCGCGCACCATGACGAAGCAGCCCTTGGCCACCGTGACGCCGACACCCACGACCCTCAGCCCGGGCCAGACGCGCATGGTCTGCGGCTGGTTGGTCTCCTCCACTAGCACAGCGTCCGAAGGCGCCAGCCGCCGGTTCTCCCGCTCGTTGATGGCCATCCTGTGCGCGTGCGAGATCACCAGGCAGGTGTCCGGTGTCGAAGCGAACCGTCGGGCTCTGGAGCTGTTAGGCAGCAAGCCGTGGGGCTTTGGAGCTGTAAGGCAGCAAGCCGTGAGCTCGGAAGCTGTTTGGCAGCAAGGTGGGGCTCGGAAACTGTTAGGCAGCAAGCCACCGATGCTGGGAACTGTTCGGAAGCTGTTAGGCAGCAAGCCAACGATGCTGGAACTGTTCGGAAGCTGTCAGGCAGCAAGCCAACGATGCTGGGAACTGCTGGGCAGCGAGGCGGCACGCTCCGGACCTGTCGGGGGGGAGCGACGCGAGCTTGCGCGCACGAGCTTGTTGGCGCGCGGCAGTTTCGGAGCTATTCGGCAGCGAGTCGGCAGCGTTTCGGCACTGTTCGGTGGCAGTAAGCCCGCAAGCTGTCCTGAACGCTCTTTGCAAGAATCGACAAGCCTTCGAAGTGGCGAATTCCGACCTCCGTCTCGAAACCAGCCTCGTAGCTAACACAGAGTGGAGATCTGGAACACCGACCCCAGAGAGAGCAAAAACAACCTGGGCACAGAGCATGATGGAGGATCCAGTCCCAGCACTCCTGGCTGGACACGGCGAGCGACCGACTGAAGTTACTGAAGGTCTCCGTATTATCGCCGCGTCGGGCGATTGGCTTCAGAGACCCTGGAGTTCGCACAGCTCGGGCGCTGTGCCGTGACATGGTGTTTGGTGATGTTCGTGGCGCAAGGGAGTGTCACCTGTCTTCTCGAGAGTGAAAGCAGCAGCCCCAGCGTGCCATCGATGCCAAGTCGCTCTACGACGTGCTCATCAAGCCTTGGAGTTGGCCTCCATCATCAACGCGATGAAATGTGGCGGTGGGCTAGTGCGGTGGACGTCGCATCAGCGAATGGCTGCCGACATGTCTAGGCTGACATCACTCGCGGCAACGGCGCGGTCTTCTTCTTGCTCAGAAATGGCACTTTGCACATAAATGATGAAAAGAATGAGCTGAAGCGGCGCGAGGACCACACTCCCGAACCCGCACGGCTGGACCTCCATTCAAGGAGCATCGAAAGCACCAAAACGGCAGAATACAACAGCATGAGCCAACAAGAGTGTCACATGAGCCCGACATGAGTTCCGAGCTCGCCGCTTGACTCCCAGAGCACGACGCGAGCATCCGGACCGCCGAAAACAAATGAACTGGCCCTGCTTAAACGGGCGAGGGATTCAGGGCTTCAGGGGTAAGCAGGGTGGGACAAGACACACACACACAGGTGGTCTCAGAAATGGGGTCTAGGGCTTAGGGTTTGGGGCTTGGTGTATAGGGCTCAGGGGGTTCGGATGCAGGAGACCAGCTTGGATGTGCATTGTCATTGTTAGAAACATGGACCTCGTCAGTGTTGCTCCAGAAGCAACATGCTCCGCATTACGGATGTTGCCAGATAGCATTGACTGCTTGTATCGTTGCCAACGTTTCAGCATCCGCTAAAAAGGTGCCGGAAAACACAGATGCCAGCGCTTCGGAAACACATTGAGGTCTAGCAGTCTAGCTTGGAGGCTTCAAGGACCTTGACAGAAGGCCTTCATGAATCCAACACCCAAACGCACGAGCAGCCATGGCATAAATTCGCAAAGTCCGTGAAGCTTAGGAATCCCACCAGAAGATCACCGAGCTTCTGTCGAAGTTTAAGGTTTAGTTTACGGTTTAGAGTTGAGGGTTTGGGGTTTAGGGTTTAGGGTTTACAGTTTAAAGGTTTAAAGATCTAGGAAACCGGGCTAGTTTGATTTGGCTCGGACTCTCCCCACAGCAAACCTCGCCCTAAACCCTGCAGACCTGTCAACATTAGGCACCATAACCTTTGGAACCCGAAGCCCGCAATCCAGAGCCCCAAAATCCACAGCCGCTAGCTAGACCAAAAGCCCTAAACCCTAGTCCCTAAATAGCCGGCCGAAGTCGTCTTCATGGTCAAAAGACCTCTCGAAACATGCGGTTCAGCATCTGGGGTTTTAGGGTTTTTGGAGCTTTTGGGTTTAGGAGCTTTAGATGTTAGGATTTCAGGTTTCCGGGTGTCGAGGTTTAGGGTAGGTGCTTGGTCTACGGGCACCTGCACACTCCATGTTGCAGCTCTATACACCCTTACGCCGCCACTTTTAAAAATCGAAGATCCTGGAACCCGCAACCAAACCCAAAGCCTCACCCACGGGCCCAGATAACGACCCTCGGAACAAATGCGAGAAAGAAGTGAGTTTAGGGGGACCATGACAGTTCAGGCTGTAGTCTTAGGGTTTGTAAGGTCTTGGGTTTAGGGTTTAGCGCAGAATACACAACGGTTGTGCTTTTGGGAGTTTGGGCTTGAGGTCAAACAAGGCCCTAGGGCTCGTCCAGGTGATTTTTTCGGTGTTATGTGATGAGAGCAGAAAAACCTTTAGTCGAGAGATAGAATCATTGAGAGAACACAGAAGGGTGCTTTACTTGGGGGGGAAGAGATCTCGTGTGCTCTCGACGCACCTCGGAAGGTATATAGTGCGATATGGGGAAGTGGGATCGATTGTGACATTGGGGTTTTCTAGACACGGGGTTCAAGCTTTATTCGCAGAAGGGGGGAGTCTAAGGAGAGTCGGGATGTTTTAGGAGAGTCACAAAGGCGGTTTCGGAGATGGCGGATGAACATGCGGCACACCGCGGCACACCGCGGCACACCGCGTGGCTGCCGTAGACATTCCTTCGCGGCCTTAGCGGAGCTGTTAGAACTGCTGAGGGTACAGAAAAACAGGTGTTCAATCAAGACACCGGCCTTCTCGGGCGCGCAACAGCGCCTCTGCTCTCTCCCAGCCCACTTGAGGCGGACGCGTCACAAGGGACTCCTGATCTGCAGCATCACACTCGACGAAGGCCGGCACCCACCTTTTGACCTCGAATTTCCCAAATCCTTTCTACTTGCGGCCTATGCCGCGGGAGCACGTGAGGTGGACTCGTCCATCTACTTCTTTTTGAAACCTGCTGTCCGATGCGCGCATGTTTAGACACATTCTAGGTGCCTGCAGTCGCCCGGAAGTGCCACCTTTTTGCAATACTTTAGGTAAGTTATACTAAACAGGGGCGCTTCCCGGCGGTCAAACCGTCTCAACTTGCGAAACTGGATGTTGCTGTCAGGGAGTTCTGATTTCAGCACGCAATATTGTAAGCTGCATCTGCGGAGGCTGCCACTAGCAGACACTAGCAGGACGCAAGAGATACAAACGCGCACCTGGTCCAAGCGACTCGAAGTTATCAACTACAAACTTTGAGGCTGCCAGCAGCATTCACTTGTGTTGGCAGCAGCGGAGCTCTTGAGCCTAGCAAGCATGCCTGGAAAACAGCACGTCGTCTGACGTAACAGAGGTGCGCCACTGCTACTGCTCCAATTTCTGAATCAGCTGTTCGAGCAGGGTCTTGACCTCGCGCACGTCATCCTTTACATTTCGAATCTCAGCATACACATTCCGATACTGTGTCCAAATTGCAAACACATCAAAATGCGCAAGTTTGAATGTAGCGTTAGAACTGTTTAGGCTCCTTCTTGCAGCCGTGGAGGCCGCTCGGAAACTGTTCATGTCTGCGTTCAAGCAAACTACACAGCAGGCAGCCTGTTGCAGGTCTGGTCCAAATGTCAAAGCACGCTCCAGCTGCCATAGCTTCGCTTGCAAGCTGGCAGGAGTCTCGGCAACTTCAGCCAAAATGATCGGGAGATCAGCAGTTGTTCGGATCTGCTCCCATGGCGTTGTCCCTGCTAATTGCACGATGCATTGCGCACAGTCTTTAAACAAATCGTTAGGCTTGAGGTCTGTGCCCCGGAGGTACAGGTCACATTCTACTACCATCGGGTCTGGAGATGAGCCTTTCATCTGCTTGAAAAACTTCCAAGGAAACGGCTTCGGAGAGACCCAACTGGATGGAAACTGCTGCTGCAGGTCAGCCTGTTTCGTCACGTTGTCACCAGAAATTGTATAGGTGGTGAGACGTTCTATGCCGTGATCGGCTTGGGTGGCAAGACGTGCGACCACCTGCTGTTCGAAGTCTTTCGCGGCGTATGTGTGTTGGATGTCATCAACAGCCATCCAATCCTGGCAAGTGCCAGAGGGACACCTACACCCAGAATCACTGATGTCATAACTCATAACTCTTAATCTTTAGCGTGTGACGCAAGCACGACACCCCCTCCGCAGTGAAGGCCTTCAAGACTCCAGTCCTTTTCAAAACCTGTTTTCGAAGCCACGTGCGACAAGCTTCTGATTCAGAACACCCGTATCACGAACGCGACACGGGTCACAGAAGCGCAAAAACCTTCTTTTGGGCACAGTTGAAGCTGCTTTCTGTCCCAGATCTTGAGACTGCCGGGCGACTGATGTTCCACGGGTCGCCTGCAGCTTCGTCTCTCCTGCAGCAGGAAACCAAGAGTGCAAGCAGTCGCCTTTTTTTGGCCAAGCCCGGAGGCTGCCGCCTTCCCAGTGACAGGGGCCAAGGCACCGACGGTTCATAGCTGGATGCACCACCTGACAGCGCAACAAAGTCGGACAAAGAAGTGCCTCTTTGTCAAGAAAGAGTTGTTGCCCAGCCAGCTCGTTCCAGCCTGGCTACAGAACACGCAGCTTGGAGCTACGAAGACCTGAGCCAAAGCCAACTTGGCCCTGCAAGAAAAGTCACGATGGCTACCCACCTGTCGAGTCCTGGTGGAGAGAACGTCTGCGACGACGCCTTGCGGCCATGCCTCCGACGCATGAGTCAGTGACACTGCGCTGACTTGTTCAAACAAATTTCCAAGACACCCTGAGAGCGAAGAGCATCAAGCATAGGACAGCCATCTTGCCAGCTAAACATCCAGACCGAGACCTTGTGCAAAAACAGCATGCATGGGCACGCAATTCCATGCTTTGCGAACTGCAAACACCAACCAAGCAATTGGGCCACTTCGCTCATGCCGTTTGAGGCGCTTGCATGTTGAAGTGGAGGGCGACCACGATACCT